ATCAAAAATTGAAGTTAGAGAAGCTCATCAAGGCAGAAGATGAAATACAGATCTTTAATTTTAAGTTTTGTTCATTGAATCTTATTTCAAAGCAAGTTTCTTAAGGTGCTGGAACATCCTCTGTTTAATCCACTGTCGATCGTAGGGAAGAAAAGCATGAATAGAGTGATCATAGCTGCAATTTAGACAGAATAAGATGTATCAGTTTATCAATTATAGAATATGAAGTAGATGATCCTGGTCATGGAGATTGCTACACTGGAAACTTACACCAATGCACTTAAGTCTGTGAAGCCATCGATAAAGTTATATAGATCAGCAATATCATAGGTGATGTTTAAGATGGTTGGATCGATCTCCTTCAGTTTTCTCTCATAGAGTCCGCAGATTCCTGCAAATGACAGAAGCCGTCGCTTCAAAAGTTAAGAGAAAACAATTTTCTAGTACAAAAATTTCTTGAATTTGAAATTTTTATACTGAAAAACTATTTTAAAATGCAGTATGAAAGCTATCCCAAACGAAGCATAAGTTTTCAAGCAAAACCTCCTTGTAAAATCGTGCTCGTTTGGATTACAGAATTGGCAGTTTGTTGTAACAATGTTATCTGTGTATGTAAAATTGCATCCGGAGAACTTTTAAAGTTCCATAATTGCAGGGAAATGCTATAACAAGATTTCTAAAGTTGAAAATTCACTGTTTTGCTAATATTAAGGTTGAAAACTTATTATTATTATAGGATTTTCAAGTGTTGAATTGAAATTTGCAAAATTAGGTCAGAGCTTAGGGACTTTTGATAAGTTACTTGGGTCATTTGGGGTTATAAATAGAATCTTTGAGGCATATAGAATTTGTTAAATGTATGAACAAATTTTATATTTCTTTTTAATTCTTGTGTTTGCATATAGAATTTGTTATAAATAGAATCCTTGATACCTGTTGAATTGAACAAGTATGTTATTGAGTATGTATGTGCTTCCTAAATTTAAGGAATTACATTTCACCAAGCATCCACCTCCCCATAGAGATGTTTAAAATGCTATTAAATTGATTCTTGTG